GCCCGCAAATTCAGTACCCCGGTACACTATGCGCGCTGGCCGTCGAGTTCTCAATAAGCACTTGGCACTTCCTCCATTGTAAGCTCACAAAGGTATTCCAGCAGTACTGACTCATGACAGATCGAAAGGCTGTTAACCTTTTGGAAGGGCGGTACCCTGGTCCAGCTCTAGCCTCGGGCCAATCAAGTAGACAAGAGTCATCAAGCAACCGGTCGATTAAGCCTTCGCCCTCAACGCTGTACATGTGCGGTCAACTGGGGCTCTGATTCCGCCTAGACCCGCGTGCATCGTATTCTTTACGTCCCTGAACCTCGAGTTCTTGTCGAGGCGCGGGTGCGTTCTTCTTCTCGATCGATGTGCGCCGTGCGATGCATCTGTCTCTGTCCTTGAGAATGTCCAGAGAAGCCTCGTCGACTTCCGGTATGCTCCGCGCAGATGTGGCCGCCAGGACTTTCAGTGACCACTTGGGGAAATCCGAGGTGAGTGTTTGTCCTGGATGAATCTTGGGGTCTGCCATCAAATACTCGAATATTAACAGGATACCTACACGTCGCTCAATATCCAATTTCGTACCCTGCGAAACGAGGACACCACGGCAGGCATGGTGCAGCTTGCTTGATTACTCTCTGTGGCACACAACAGCGACTGTGGACACGGAGTCTGGCTAAAATGCGCCCCTACGATGACGCTCTTCCATACACATCTCAGGTTCGTACATTGCCGATGCCCTCCCCCACTTCGTGAGCTCCTCAGGTTGTGATATCCACGCATCTCATCGAGGCCGCGTATACCGTCGGTCACTGATTGTCCTAATTCAGGTCGCTCATGTTCGTGTGCACCGCGCAGGCCAACGTCCCGGACCCCACCCAATGAGCGATCGGAAGGCAGGCGGCATACTGGCGAGCCCCTTACGCGGAGAAGCTTCAATCCGTGCAGGTCCGTCCAAAATCCGTAGCAGGGCTCATCGGTCCGGTATGCGATTTCTAACAGGTACGGGACCGCTTGATTGACGGGAACACGTATACAGGAAACTCAAATGTATATTACAGTCCCGCGTGGTGACATGCATCGCACGAATGACTGGGCCCTTTTTATTAGTCTCAATCGCATACTTGATGCAAAAGGCCTCTACGTGTTCCCCATCATTGGAGGCCGGAAGGTTGGGCATCTCTACCAGAACCTCGAGGCACTCGAACTGTCGCTCACCCCGGGGCAGATCAAAGCTCTCGACAACATTGTACCATTCGACAAGGGCTTCCCGTTCATCGCCTTCGTACGTATCTCCACTGAAATTTCGTCCCCTCCCCCGTGCTCGCCAGGCTGACCAGCCCATCCTAGGGTGACGCGACCGAATATAACGCGCTGTACAAGTCTGCAGGGTACTTCGAGAAATGGCCCAAGCAGGAGACGATCCGTCCAGCGAAGCAGTAGGTTTGCGCATGTATTCGTGGAAACTCTTGTGCACGTCGACAGAAAATCAAATGTATATTATTGTATTTGATGGAAATCCGAAAACAATTTTGCCCCTTCAGAATCATTCTTGTATGCCCCCAGGTAGTACTGTTACACATATCTTGGAGGCGTATGCATGGATGTTGACAACGTGAGATCAAGGTTGCACCAAGAGGTGACCACGTGGCGCTGACTGCTCTAAATCGCGTGGACGGGTCCAACGCTTCTCATCAGGCCACCACGACCCAGCGCATACAATTTCGCTGGACACAGAGGTAAGCCGCAAGCTGTTTTCAAGGCTCCCATGGTGTTAACAGACACCGGCAGGATAACTTTTCATGTCAGGTAGAACTGCTACAGCTTCCGAACATGTCGACGACCCGGAATTATTTCGATGTCGTCGACTTCCGCAGGAGCTATCCGACACGATCCTCGACCTTGTTCCCCTGGAGCACCTTTCATCATGCTCGCTCGTCTGTAAGACCTGGCTTTGGAGAGCCACACCCCGACTTCTGTGCGACTTCGGCTGGCCTCCGAAATCGCGCAAAGAGGACGAGGAGGACAAGGAGGAGCTGCTCACCCGGTTTCTGGATGTGTTGGCAGCTAGTCCTCGTCTTCGAGGCGCCATCCGCACCCTATGGCTTGGCCATCCCACACCCAGAGAAGTCAAGCCCTTTGATATCAGCTCCGTTGCGTATACCCTTGATGTCTCTGTCCCCGCCTCCAAAATATCACACTCTCAGTGTGTAGTCTCCGGGGGACAAATGCTGGCCTTGAAGATGGCCGTTGTGGACGCATCGGGACGGTCTCGCTTTTACATTGCTCGGTGTACACGGACAGTGAAACCCGAGGCCTAGTATATGCGCTTTCACTGTTCTCCCAGATTGATGTCCTTCAACTCGATGCGATCGCCAGGATCAGCCAATTCACGATGCCGTTTCCGCCATCACTAGAAGTCACCCGGATCCAATCTTACGGCACTCGGGGAAGTATGGCCATGAACTCAAAGATTGTGCGACATGTTTGTGCATCCCCTAGTGTTTGCGCGAGTCTACGCGGGTATGCGGCCTGTGACGCGTTCAACCACTTCGTTTGGCTTCTCCAACGGCGACTAGTACCTAACTTGGAAGACATCTCGTACGGTGTTTGGAGCACATCAGCCACCATCACACCCGACTTATTTGATCATTTCCCCTCTCTTCGCAGCCTCACGATATTCACCGAGAATGACGTCTGCGACACCGTTGACTGGCCCAGCACTATGCGAGACCTCATGCTCACCCCGGATCGACTCGAGCACATCACAATATCGATTTACTACACAGGGGGCAAGCTGCCTGTGCCTGTCCGTGAAGACGTCGCTCTCGATACGCTCAAAGCAGAGCTCGAGGACAAAGACTGGACGCTCTTGGAACGCTTCCTCGAGCTGCGGCCTTCGCTGCCCAGGTTCGACATTGAGGTGAGCTGCATATACAGCCATCAAGGTTCCCTCAATCCTGTCGACGCACAGCAGTCTGTGGACCTCGACCACCTTGAGGAGATGGTGCGTGGAGTGGTCGACCGGAAGTTGTCGAAGCATGCGGCCGCGCGAGTTGGTATCGTGCCAAAGGGAAGGTGGGATTGAAGTATTTCTCAACGTGAATGATGTCGCGCACTAAGTCTTACTCGTATTCTCTATGGTGGCTGGCGCATAGATTGAATGGCACCCCCCATCCAATGGGCCTCCTTGTACTTCTGTATCTATTGCTTCCCCAAGAATGACTTCATACAGTCAAATGCATATGATCCCGTTTGATGTACGCAGGTATTGTGTCTGCCGCAACATCCCAGATTTCATGATTCGTTGGAGGGAGAGTCGAAACGTTTGTGGCAGGTACGAGCAGTAAATTAGAGAGGGCCATCGCCGATAATGGTGAATTCAGGGCCCCAGTTTCTGGAGTCGCCGTACACTGGAGCGGCACGTCGTAAGACTCAATGCTATATACATAGTGCCAGAATATACACTTACGGACGAGGCTGTAGAACGTGGCAGTCTGCACGAGCGGCACGGTCACCTCCACATGTCCGTCGCGGACGTCGAAGCCATCCTCCAATATGACTGATTCAACCATATTAGTACGCGCGAGACCGACGTTGCGACCAATTTACCTAGAGTCTCGGTGTCCTAGAACCTCAAGTCGATCCTACCCATCGGTTTCGAGACTTCGACAGGTAAATCAGTCGTCTCCCTGTTTGAATTAGTATTTATCGGCGTCTCCACAGCTGCTATACTTGCCATGTCTCTGTATAGGTCTTGTCTGAGTACCATATGGTGCTGTAGGGTAGGTCATCGTGGGGTCCCAAACATCATGAGCCTCGATGACAGGAGCAGCACTTGTGATTTCATTGAATGCACTGAGGCCAAGAGCGAAGAAGATGCTAGCCGTGAACTTCATGATGAACGTTGGGGTACTGCGAAAAGGAGGGTGACGAACGAGCTGCTGAGAGATAATGCCGCTTTACCTCGAGCTTTACAGTCTCAACATGACGGACATCCTGCCTGTGGGAGGGGCTGAATGGACATATTGTATCGACTAATTCAACGACACGCAGTGCCAGAAGTGTACGGTGCATGCACAAATAGTCATTTCGTGATTCGATTCCCCGTAGAGGCAAGTTCGGGATGCGGCTTGGTGCGACCCATTCAGGTTCTAGACGTCAGTACACACAGCTGAATTCGCTACTATATCAGCATTGCAGGTTATTTCTACTACTACGACGGCTAGTATTCACCGTTACTCTCAGTCAATCGCCGCTGTCCCATTCGGACATCCGGAAGAGCGAGGGAATGCAGAAGGCAAGCGGTTTTATTCTGGGCCCTGGTGAACCACTAGCGGCGAAGTATTCTTGGCATGTAATGTAGTCTCATGGAGAGGACATGTAGATTCGGAACGCAAGGTGAGGACGTTATGGCGGGAGGTCCGGGCCGGTGTCAAGTCTAAGGACATAAATCCATTTAGCGAAACGCGCGCGTTAAAAAGGCTGCATCTATACCAAGACTTATAGATATGAAACACGGAGCCAATAAATACGGCCTTAGCGGAAAAAAGATCCACTATAGGAGTGGATATGAATGACGAGACCCGAACAGTACTAGTGTCATTGTACATCGTCAAATTCACGTTGACTTTCGGTGAAGCTCGGCTAGCGCATACTAGAGGAGTGGACACGTAAAGTATAGCCTCAAATAAGGTGATTCAGAGATAAGATGATAGTGGTAAATAAATATTCTTCTAATTTAGTAGCTCGCGAAAGATCACTTGGATTGCTTACCCGAGACGCGACGGGGCGGGGTGATGACGAACGTCCACAGGTTTAGCTTACGAAGGCTTCACTAGAGACATGGTTATATTCACCATCTGTTAAGAAAATTTGCAGCAACGTACCACAGATGTTCCAGGAATCCACGTTGCGGTAGGGAGCTGGGCGGCGGCGGTCAAACTTTCGTCTGAGAGGCAGCTGGGCATGTGATTAAAATGATATATCATACAATATGTTCAATACGTCATGGGCACTTGGCACAGTGGTAGCGCGCACGCTTCGCATCTTCTGATTGTTTGCGTGAGGTCGGGAGTTCAATCCTCCCAGTGTCCATTTTTTATGCTTCTAGTCCCTACGTGAAGATTCAAATCTCGCGACACTCAATTTTTCTCCGCATCCACATTGCTTTCTAATTCCCCTCTCTCCAATAGAATGATCTGCATGTAGCGATGAAACACTCCCGATAATTTAGCCGCAAGCTTGACCTTTATCGAGCTTTGCAATGGCGCGTCCGTACATCATGTTTGAGCCTTCATCATTCAAATCGTGCGCCATATTCAATCTTCCTTGGAGTCCCAGCTAGCACGAGACCGACCAGGAGCGACCGGCTGGAGGGGAACCGAGTTCGGGAACATGCTCCCAACGCTCACGGAAGCTGCTTTCGCCGCCCACTCTGGAGCTGACCGTTACAAATTAAAATAACAACCACGTCGCTGACACCTGGTGCCCGGGTATTTGCTCGCTGGACGAGCAGCCGAGGGCAACGTCTTGACCTGAGATCACGGACCACCAGCGCTTTCAAGGCGCCTACCACTACCTCGTCTCAGCACACTCACGCAGCTCTCACTCGAACCGCCGTCACCAGCAAACCTCGAGCATTTCCCGTCTCGCCCAGACGCAGCGGAATCTGCGTCATGACGCGACAGCAAGTGCGCCTGAATGATATGTTGTCATCACTAATCCATTGTCTCGTCATAACAAGTTAGGCCGCAAGTCGAGCTACTTACTCTCCTGTACGGGCCGCCAAAGTTACTATCGCCTGTTCAGTCGGAAATACACCTATTGAAAACGAGGTAAAATGCTTCCGAATGTTGGAAGCGAGAGCGTGCGGTACACTCTTCTAATCCTGCAGTACAGAATACTTTTTGAGTCCAACGGCGGCCATCTAAATACAAGGCTCGATCAACGCGCTCTGGACCAGGGTATTTGGCCAGCTAACTGCGTGGCTATGTTCGTGGCAAGCCTCGCTGGAAGGGGAAGCCGAGCCTCACAACACGGCCGCTATAATAGCGGCATGCAGTGTCAGTGCAGTGACCCCCCTCGACCGTCGACTCAGCTCAAGAAACAGTAGGGCGCACGCCACAACCCTGTACGTATGCCATCACTTGAGCTACGGGGCAGATTGCTTATTTTGATCTTCCAACAGGGAATACTATAGTCTAATTTACCTGGGCTATGGATTTTACCGCAGTGTATGCGCACTCCCCTGTCCGGGCGGTCCCACTCAGGCTCGCACAGGAGTTGGTGGATATGACGATCGACTACCTCCACGACGATCGGGACGCGCTTATGCAGTGCTCTCTCGTCTGCCGGGATTGGGTGCACTCTAGCTCACTGCATCTCTTTAACCGCATGCGGTGGCCGCCCTGTCCCAAAAAGCAGAAGGCGTGCCTGGGAGCACTTGACGGGGACGATTGCTTCTCAAGCTGCCTGGACCTACTATCCGCATCACGCAGACTTCGCTCCACCGTCAGAGTCCTCCAGCTTTCTTGCCACAAATGCGCCATCCAACGCGATACCTCCCGGCGCAGCGCACCCCTCCCCTTCTCTGTTCTATTTTCCATCATCGAATCGCTCCCCGTTCTTCGCACGCTCGAGCTACACGAATGCCGTCTCCTACCAGAGACGCCCCCAGCGGACTTCTACCCTACTCGATCGCTCGACAAGATCAAGATCACGTACATTTGGCGGCAGGCCGGCTGGCAGGCCACTTTGGACTTTTTGTCGCTCTTCCGCCGGGTAGGAAGCCTTCACATTCATTCTTTGCTTTCAAGCGGTTCGCGTGCCAGCTCTCCATCATTGTATTTTGAGCCGTCTGGCCCTGTCCTCGAAATCGACTCGCTCACCATCCGCGGCGTCGGCGAGACATACGTCCTCAACCGCCTCAGCGCCATCGCAAAATTCTCTGCGCTGAAACACCTCAATCTCCAGTGCCACGTGTCATCCGATCTGCGCGAACCCGTGCAGTCCATGACCAACATCCGTTCGATCAGCTACGACGTCGAGGGCTCGTACCCGCCCATCGCCCTTCGAGAGGCCACCCTACACGCCATCCACCTGTCAGGGTACTTCCGCGTCAGCAGGAGCGTCCCGTCCTCCGAGTGGGACACCATCACACGCGACCTCGACATCCTGGTGACGCGGGAGCTGCAGGAACTGCGGGTAGTGATGCACCTGGAGGGTGACAAAACGATCCACGAGACGAAGGACGACGAGCTGCACTGCCTCGAGCAGTCGCTCATGGACCTGAACTGGTCCGCCTTCGCAGCTGTCGTGTCGCGTTCGTGTTCGCTGCGCCTCTTGACGCTCGACCTCCGTAACCACATCCATCCGAAGAGGATGTCAGACAAGTACGTCGTTGCTGCGCGGGAAATTGCCGCGAAGCGCCTCCCTGCGCCCTTGGCGCGGGTGTTGCGAGTCGTGTCGATATCGTAATCCGATGTGGAACATGTCTGCTACCGTTTGCGTCGTTTAGAGTCTTAGACGGACGGGTTGCAGTAGGGCATAAATTATTTCAGATGTAGATGTATAATTTGTACAATACATGGACCATCAAGGTGTGACATCCATCATACCTACTGTAAATGGCGCATCTGACAGGGTGTAGTCGGTGGTACGTCCATATTCTGACTCTGCGGGTAGTCGGGGCAATTGTTGACATATTTCTGGCTTTATAAACGAAGAAATGTATTTCCAGAAGTCAACATAAAGTCATGCGATTAACACTGCTGGGGCTAGGAGATGAGTATCGATGAGTTTCAATAATCACCTCTACACTAACTTGGACTCAGACATCAAACCGACAAACTGACGACCTCGGCCCCCGCTCGAAAATGGGTATCCTTCTCTTTCGTACTCGTTGTTACTCTCTGTGTGATGTCCAGCTTCGTCTCAGTCACAGCACTATCCATCGGAGCAACCAAGAAGTGATGTATTTTACCGTCCTTTGCTTTTGTGTATGATATATGCAGAGTTCGTTTGTTAACCCGACTGCGATCGCGTGTCGCTCGACGTCGATCTTGCCCTGACATCCAGCGTGTGCGTATGCCGCTTTCTGCTATAACACATACATAACTCGAGGGGATGTAGCAGTGTAGGATGGAAAAAGGGTAATCTGGTGCGGTGGTTAATCTTATCAGAATTCGCAGATGAAAGCTTTACTGTTGTCCAGAAGGCGCTTTTCACGGGAGGATAACGCCTCAAGTGGCCGCGGCCTGAGTAGGTGGATGGGGCGAGGCTTGTACAACTCTGAGTCGGCATGTATGTGGTAGTCGCGAGGCCCTATATTCGTCTGCGGTATGGAATGTCTGAATGAAGGTCAATATGGGCGTACACCTCATCGCACATCGACACTCACTCAGTTGTGATGTGGTCCCTGAGTTCCGGTAGACCCAACTCGCTCATCTCGCAATGAGTGCACGAGTACCAATCTGTACTCGTTTCGGCCATCCATTCCTGTTCGAAATGTGGTGCAGCAGCACGCTCAAATTCCTTGATCTGGTTGACGATGGGGCCAGACATCACAGACCACTTGGGCGGAAGATAGGCGTCGGCATCGCCCATGAAGTCGTGAGTGGCGGCGTGATGAAACTGAGGAGGCATCGGTAAGAAGATCATGAACACAGTACGCATCACATACCGTATCACGCCAACGCATGACCTCGCGCGCGTCGCTAATTCCTGCTTTATCGCATGTCTCACACCAGAACCATACGTCGAGTTCGTCCATATCTGTCTGTGTCGTAGTTATCGGGTCCTTTTCACAGGCCTTGATGATGTCGACCGCTCTCCGGTGAAGCTTCCCGATGCAGAGTCGACGAGGGTCCCAGCGTTGGTGGCAGAACGGTTGTCCTCCCGTTACGGCAATAACTTCAATAGCGTGGCAAATAGGATTATCGCTAGCTTCGCTCCCCAAGTATGGCATGCATAGGCAGCGGTGGACCAAGATCGAGGGATATAAAGGGGGGAGCATATGCGTATACCCCATACCATTCCTACAACCATCACAATCGAAGACAGCGGCGGCAAGGTAGAGCGGATCGACGTCCTCAGGAATTTTTCCCATAAACTCCGATGAGTCGGAGACTATCTTGCGGAGCTCGTTGTCCCGACGCTCTCGCCACTGCACGGCCCATTCTGTGAAATACGCCTGGAGTGGCTCAAAATCGTCTGGGGTCACTTCTACGTCATTGGGCCGAAGCAAGATATCGACCACAGCGTCTCGCCACAGTGCCTCGTTCCACGGCGGAATCACGTTGCGGTCGTCCTGTTCGGCCCACCAATGCCTATATAGGCTGAGGAAGATGTCACATCTTTGAGTCACGACCTGAAGCGTCTCTTCGCGGACTCGCCGCTGGCGGATGTTCTCGACCAACGAAATAAAATACGGTCGTATTCTCTGCCAAACTGTGCACAATAAATTTGAACGAGTGGGTGATTCGCAGACTGGCACGCACCTTTCTCCGTTAATTTCTCTTTCCTTGTCCAAACCCAATCTGCATGTTCATAGAGAATATCGTTGACCTCATCGCTGGCGCCCCGGCTGGCTATATAATCGAGGTCTTCGCCATATCCCATCTCGCGCAGTTTCTCCTCGATTCTGGGCAAAGAAATCAGCGATGATCATGACTTGCATATCGGGGGACCCCACTCGTCGATTGCACGTTCACGCAACTCGCACAGCTCGATCCGGCGAAGGTTGGCTAGATTTTGTTGCCAAGCTTCACACTCGGCAGCATGCTAGAGCGATGGAACGGGTTAGCTCCATTAACGTAGCATATTGTGCTGCTTACTTCCATGATTTCTCTAGTCATCGTTTTGCGAGCCTCGCGTTGCTTTTTGGACAATTTCATCCCTTTCTTTTCCATCCACACGGCGTCGGGCAGATGATGATAATGGGCCTCCAGAGTACGGTCTGGGAAAACTCTGAGCTGAGACAAGGACAATAAATACGTCAACATACGCACCATGGGCATGAGGGATGACGGCATCGTCACAGGTGTCTCCATAAATACATTCATTTTGGCACTTGACGATCCTACATCACACAAAAT